GAAGAAGAAGAAGAAGAAGAAGAAGAAGAAGAAGAAGAAGAAGAAGAGGAAGAAGACGACTAAACAAACTGCAAACTTTTAGTATATAATCAAATCTCAGAAAATGATGACTAGCCAAATTTCTCTTTTACTTCTTAGAATGTTTGGGTCCATTGTGATAAGGCCTGAAAAATCTACTCTACTCAGTGTTTACCAGAATACCAGGTACTGGTATTCGTAGTTCACAACAAACAGTGGTATGACTTTAATATTAGCTCCAGCTCCTCCAGACAGCTCAAGTAAGGAACTGATTTTGTAGGAAGTGCTCTTCTGCTTTGTAGGCAGTTTCTGAAATGCAATCACAAGAAATCTGGAACAGGGTCTGGAGATGGTATATGAAACTACTGCAGACCCTCAGTAGACAAGGCAACCAGGAGTGGAGGATGCTAGAAATTTAACCTAAATTATGAACTTAGAAAGAAGGGTGACCAGGAGTCAAGTTACTACTTGCCTGATTCTAAACGTCCCTTGCATTCTATGTGGGAGAACACTGGGTCTCTCTGCCTCTCTCAACTCAGGAATCATGGCTGGAGTTGAGGGGCTGGACAGATGGTATTTGGTATATTTCCACATGACATTTGGTTATTGACCTGCCCACTTTCTTAAGATGTCCCTCTTTTGCCTATGCAAGAATTATAGTTGATTGAATACAATAGGCTTAGTTGCTCATTTTATTGTAAAATCAATTTGTATCACAGATTTAATATTCATTCTATTTGTATATAATTTTCATAATTTATGCAAAGTGAATTTAAGACTGTTTCTACAACGAGAAACGCTCAGTAAAACCTAAAACATTATTTGAACACTTCTACAGATTTTCTGCTACTATTATTTCACCTTCTTCCCCTCAATTTTCATCATAAGCCTTGCATTTACAGTAGGATTTTCATGAGTTAAACCCTAGGGAAAACATACTAAAACAGAGCCTCTTGGGGTTTTAATGTGGTTCTATAGTACCTTTAATATAGTTCCCAGCAGCTTCCTTCCACGTCACCCCATAGTGTTGTTTTTCTTAAAAAATCTATTCACAGTAGTAGAAATAAACCAGTAAGATTCAGAACTTGATCATATCTTTGTCCCTTGTAACCACCTGTCCTGTGACATAAACCAATGGATTGGTTGTCTTTGAGTCTTGATCTGAGATGTTATGCATACATAACCACTGTCAATATATTTTTGTCACCTATGTTTTCAAAGATGTTGCATGAAATCACACACACACACACAGGCACACACACACATGCACACACACACACACAGGAAGGGGAGAACTGCCATGTTTTTTCTTGATATTTAGTATTTTTCATGGCTTTCATATCATTCTAGTCCTCACATTTCTAGATATTTAAAAGCTGTTGGGTCCCCTGCTCTATCCGCCCTCTGTTTCTAGTTCACCATTTCAGAACCATTGTTCTCCATTCTTAGAACTTGGCTCCTTCCCTGGAATCACTTTTTCACTTTTCTTCTCTTTCCTTTCCAGTCTTCTTTTGCATAGGGAATATCACACCACATTAGGAAGCAGGCTTTTGCACTGCTGTTGTTAATCCTTTCCATCATGAGAAAAGGACTATGCTCCTTCCTCCGATGCCTGAGGTCTTAGGCAGCTTTTTTAGGAATGGGATGAACTGTATATGAATTCCAATTTCATTACAAAGAAGCTGATGCCCAGAGGAGAGTGACTATAGTTCTCTGGGCTTCGTGTACTGCTCTACTAGATAGCAGCACTAAGCTGCCCAGATTACTGAGGGCTCAGAAAAGGCCTCACTTGCAGCATATGTAAGTGCCTGGTCATCACTGGCACTATAATTATTATCTAAATATTATTAAGCAGATCATCTCAGTCAAGTTGAGAATTATTCAGCATTAGATCCACAATTAAATATAGCAGAACCATACATGAATGGATAGCCGTTAATTTTGAAGCTTACTGTCTAAGCACTGTGAACATTGTTCAGGGTAACACGTAGCATCATTCAAAGTTTGCTCATTTTTTCAAGTTCATGATGTTGAGAACTGATGAGGGAGGGTTGGTATGTTTACCTTTAGCCTACTGAACAAAAAGGAGTGGCAGGATTTGTGTGCGTGTCCCACTTCTGAGGGATGCATTGGATTTGTATGTGGGTCCTACTTCTGAAGGATGCATTTGTAACCTTGTGCTACACTACTTTCCTGAGGGAGCGCTTCATCCTGTCACACAGCAAAGGTACTAGAGAACAAGAAAGGGTACCAAGAAATGTGTTGACTTTTTTGGCTTGAGACAGTAGAGTAGGGCAGTAATTCCAGCTTGTGCAACCATGAGATGTCCTGTGCCTTTTCATGCAGGTGTCTGGACTGGAGTTTTGGCCACATACTCATATATGATTTTTCAGGTAACTGTATAAAAGAAGAAGAAAAATAACAAGAAACCAGGTCAGGAACCAGGGCTCCCAAACACATGTGTGACTTCTGGTCTTCAGCCAGGACAGAATCACAGCAAGGATAAGAACAGGTTCCTTGGAAGCGTAGGGGATAGAAGTAAGCAAGTCAGAGTGATCAAGGATACCACCTGAAGACCTACAGAGTCAGCTAATCCAGGACCATGGGAGCTCACAGAGCCTGAACCACCAACCAAGGAGCATGCAGGAGCTGGACCTAGGCCCCTACACATTTGTAGCAGATGTGTAGCTTGATCTTTATGTAGGTCCCCTAACAAGTAGAATGGGGGCTGTCTCTGTCTCTGTTCCCTGCCATTGGATCCCTTCCCCCTACCTGGACTGCTTGGCTAGGCCTCAGTGGGAGAGGATTTACCTAGATCTGCTGGGACTAGATATCCCAGGATAGAGTGGTACCCAGAGATGGCTCCCCTTATCTGAGAAGAAGGGGAGAGGGCAGTGGGAAAGGGATTTGTAAGGGTGGGGATAGAAAGAGAGGAGAAAGAGGGGCTATGATTGGGATGAAAAGTGAATAAAAAAAATAAATAAAAGCACGTTGAAGAGAAGGGGGCCAGTGCAAGAATTGAAATTCCTGTCCCTAAGGTTGACTGGAAAGTTCCTATCTCTGTCTTACACCATTATTTAATACTTTGTATGCTATTTTGAAGAAATCTTTAAGTTAAAAATAGAAAATATACTACAAAACTAAAAATAGACTAGTTGAGAAGCAAAATGCAAGAATTTAGAAATTTTTTTTTGTTTAATTTTTCTATTTAAGACAGGGATTCGCTATGTAGTGTAGACCTTTCTAGAACTTGCTATGTAGAGCAGGGTGGACTAGAACTCATAGCAATACAGCTGCCTCTGCTTTGGAGATTAAAGATATATACCAGCCTACCCATGGCTTAAGAGACGAGAAAATATTTGAGCCTGACATGGAGTAGTCATGTGTGTCCCCTAACAAGAGGAATGGGAGCTGTCTTGGTCCCTGTTGCCTGCCATTGGATCCCCTTCCTCCTACCTGGACTGCCTGGTCGGGCCTCACTGGGAGAGGATGTGCCTAGACTTGTGGGGACTAGATATCCCAGGGTGGGGTGGTACCCAGTGAGCTCTCCCCTTATCTGAGGAGAATGGGAGAGGGCAATGGGTGAGGGGTAAAAGGTTGGATGGTTGGTTGGAAATGGCAGGCAGATGCGAGAAATGGTATAAATGGTGTGACAAAGGGAATGAGAAGACAGCCAAGGAGGCATCACGAGGTCTAGCCAGAGCCTAATGAAGAGAGTGGTTGCAACAGCAGAGATGATGTCACTTCAAGATCTCTCTAGAAATCAGTTGTGACCTGTGAGCTAAGAACACAGTGCTCAGAGGCCTTATGCAGAACCTACAACCATTAACAGCCCAGAACCCTTCACAGAGCCCAGCACCCTATCAGAAGTCCCAGGCTCTCTTCAGCTGTCTACACAGTGGCTTCCATTTCCAACATTTCTTTCTGGGGCATCCACATGCTGCCTTTGAGTTTTATGCAGCGGACCCTGTGGAGGGAGTATGCCTATGTTCAGTCTGTTGGAGCAGAATAGTCTACACATTCAAGATTCTAGTCAAGCAAGTTCTCCGCTTGACTCCCTCTGTTCCAGGAGGGCTGTGAAAGGCACAAAGCAGTCTTGGTTTGCAGGTCATTGACCGGGTGTGAGAGGGGAAACACCTAGGGAAAATGGTTGTTTTTGTTTTTTGTTTTTTTCTGACTACTGCTCTATAGTATAAACCTCTCTGTTATAGAGGAGAGAAAATGTATGCCATTCACTGGAGGGCAGGTGAGGGACGAGTGGCTTCAGAGACATTTCACTGGCCGTTAAGCCTGGAGTAATGTTCTCTCTTTTCTCTCTCTGTCCCTGGTCTTGTCTAGTGTTTGTCAGGTTCAACTCCAGCTATGGCTTCCCAGTGGAGGTCGATTCTGACACCAGCATCTTCCAGCTCAAGGAAGTTGTTGCTAAGCGACAGGGGGTTCCAGCTGACCAGCTGCGTGTGATTTTTGCTGGGAAGGAGCTTCTGAATCACCTGACGGTGCAGGTGAGTCTCCCTGGGTGGGTGGTCCCTGGGATGTACCCAGGGCCAAGGCCTCCACAGCTTAAGCTGCCAATCTGACATTCATGCCTGAGATCTAATAGAATAAATAGTGCCTGGGGATTCCTTGAACTTTCCTCCACACGGCTTCATTAATTCTGACCTTCTTAATTATGCATTAAAACAGTATGCAGGAAGGACTGGAGGAAGAAGTGTGAGTGAGCCGAGAAGGGGAGAGAGAAGCCAGGCGTGCTCGGCTTAGTGAATAAATGTTTACTAACTGAGGAAGCAGGAAGGCACAATTTCTGGCTCTGTTCAATTTTTACCTTCCTTATTCCATTTGAATCTTAATGAAGAAGAATTCAAATAAATTGTTCCCAATACTGCTGCTCAACCCATGCTCAGTGAGGGATTTACAACCCAACTGTGACCCCTGGAGGACACTCACAGCTGCTGCTGGGACTACAGCAGACACTGGCCCAGGGCCCCATTTGCAGAGGGCTCTGAGCCTAGGATAGGCAGCATCGAAGTTACACAGCAAAAGTCCATCTTTGTATCTCCAAGCCTAGACAGAGTTACACCTCGCCCATGCCCCGCCCACGCCCCTGATCCAGAACTAAGTAAACGGTGGAGATCTGCTTTCCTGTCTATTGCTTCCTGGGTATCTGGTCCCTGCTGTGCCGTGGAAACCCCTTCTTTATAGCATCCTGTACATTTGGAGAAATGAGTTTTATAGACATCCAAGCAATTGATGTGCAGGCCCATTGCCCAGAATGAGAGAGCAGTGAGTGTTTTGGAGGGAAAATCAGCAGATATGAACTACATTTACTCAAGTGATTAAAAGCAGGGAAAAGCGTGTCCCCTCCACTCTGTGTATGGTGAAATTGCGCCACTGTTAACAGCTGGTTGGAGATCTGTGCTGTACTCAGACTGCCCAGGCCAGTCAGCCCTCTCGCCGGCTGAAGTATTTGCTACTTTGTGAAATGCTTTTGGAATGTGGGTATACAAAGAAACTATAGAAATGCAAATTGCTTCTGCTCTTCTCCCCGCCCCCGCTGGTGGCGGGAGGACTCACACCCATTGTGCAGAAACTGCTGTGCTTTGCTTTCAGGCAATTTGTTTTCATAAGGGAAGTGCCTGTGCTAAGAAGTGTTTTGATTTTTTTTTTTATTTCAGTCAACTAAAAAGCTTTTTGCTGTTCCTGCCAACTACTAAACCTAAGATTGTTTCCTTCACAAATAAATGGTTTTAAAACTGTTTCTTGAATCCAGATAGACTTTATTATGAGAACCTTTAGATTTTAAAGCCCCTCGCCTGTACAAGGTAGGGTGAGTGTAACAGTTAGCTATTTCTTATTTAGTAAGACTAACAGGTGTGGGGGACAGATTTTATAAAAATCTATGTATTGGTTCAACTGTCTTACCTCGAATCACACTTTTAGAACTAGTAGTGTTCAGAGCTTCTCAGGGGCTCCAGTTAAAAGGAGCTCATTTAGGGAGACTGCTCTTTACCTGCTTAAGGCTCTGAACTAAAGGAACACTAGGTCAAACAGTCAGTGAGTATCACATATGATAATAGCATTAACAATGTCGTGGCTCAGCCTAACACCTATACTATGCACCTGCCATGCGTAATTATCACTGTATAGCCCATTAAAAATGAGTATCGTGATGTTTCAAAGGTGTAGACTGGACATCTAATGGGAAGGCACCAGGAAAGAGCTCCTGAGTGGACTGAATTCAGGTAAGGATTCTTTAGATGGAAGGGTAGCACCTACCACTTGCTTGAGAGGGAAGGCAGGCTCTGTTTTTCCAGAATCTGGAGGCAATGCTGAAGACAGAGGGAAGATGGAGTTTGGAGAGGCATTTGACAGAATGTTGACAGACCTGGTCTTGCAATTTTATTCACAGAAAGCAGAGGGGTGCCATAAAAAAACATGGGAAGGGAGCTGAATTTTCAGGGGTCCTGAGAGTTTATAAAGAGTGGATATGTGTGGAGATATTTAACAAACCGTTGGAACCTAGGCCTGGACCTAGGATACAGATTTAATATTCACAGATATTTGCCCAGAGAGAAATATTTTTACAGCAACTGGAACAGATCCAGCTGTCGAGGGGTGAGCACGAAGCACTGTGAGCATCTTCAATCTGTGACAAGGGAGCAGACAACCTCAGGATGTACAGTCTACCCAACTGACACTTTTGAGGCTATCCTAAAGACTAAATTTTGAGAGTTGAAAAATAAATGAAGAACATTTTTGTGCTTAGGGGCTGAGGTGATCATTCAGTGATAAAGGTTGCCACACAAACACAAAGACCTGAGTTCAGATCCCCAGAACCCACTAAGTTAGTTAAGCCTAACACAGTTGTTTGTAATTCCAGTGCTCTTAAGGGGAAGTCAGAAGCTAGCCTGGTATACCCAGCAAACTAGATACCCTGCCTCATACACACACACACACACACACACACACACACACACACACACACACACAAAAGCACATGTTTATGCACATATACATTGTACACATAGACACATTTTTTTAATTTTCTGTTACAAGCAATGGAAATTTGGTAAAAGTGGAGGAAAGGCTTGTGACAGAGGGCTCTGTAATGTGTTCACCTCCACCTCTGAGAGGAAGCAGACCCACGTGGAGAGTTCTCAGAGAAGTGATATCTGTCAAGCTGTGCCTCATGGACTAGCCTCTGCGGTTATGAATAGCTGACTTGTGTGGAGACATAATGAGTGGGGACCAATTTTGCATCCATTAAGATTGTTTCACTTAACATAATATCACGCTATCATGAATGGCCGTCTAACAGTGTCTCTATCTTCATCTACCGCTTAAATCTTTAGACTCTGTCTAGTTTTTAACATAACAAATGAAAGCAAATTGATTTTTACAAGCAGATGCACATTGGCGAATTTGGCTTCTTTGTCTCAGATTGCTCATTTTAAAGGCAGAAATAATTATAAGCCCAGTCTTGCTGCAACTTTGTAAGGAAAGGAATGGGTCTGTTTATATAAAGACGTTACATATAAGCATACTGTACAAATGTGTGCAGTTGTTAGCTGTGTGGGTATCCTGATGGCCGTCCTTAGATCATCTCAATCCAAGATTCCCATCAGAATCCATTCATGTAAAATCAGTTAAAGATGAGGTCATGGTAACAGTGCAAGCATTGTGCTATGCTGTATTGCATGCATGTGTGTCCCATTTGTACTCTATAACAAACAGAAAACCTCCCATTTTTTTCCTTTCTTAAGAGTTCCTGTCAGGTCTTCCAACAGAGTACTAAAAACCCACTTGAATCACAGGTCACTCTTCTCTACTTAGCCAAACGTAGCATGCTGCATGTCAAAATTCCTCAAATCACCTTCTTTAACTTCTAATTTATTATTAAAAATTGTACAAGGAAAATGAATTCAAGTAAAGTTGTTTATATCCCAAACTGTCAACTTTACAATGATATTAACTGCTGAGATGAGAGAGACTTTGGTCTCTCCTTGGACTTTTGAACAGGATTAATTGGGTTTTCACTACGTGTTTTGCTGTTAATGTATAACAGAGGGTTAGTCAGTGTCCTCTAGCATGAACCAATACATAATATGTCTGTGTCCTTTGTGTGTGTAATTTGCAGTATATACTATATAGTAGACATAACACCATACTTATTCATAGACATTTATTATAACAAATTAACTCTTGTCATTAAGGAGGCTGAGAAGTCCCAAGATCTACAATCTGCAGATGAAACCCTCAGAGAATCACTAGTGCTACTCCAGGCCAATATGCAAGACTCTGGGCCAAAAGCCAGCAGCACAGCTCTAGTTCAAGGCTTAGCCCAGGAAGAACTGACACTTCAGTTCAAGTCTGAAGGCAAGGAGGAGAGTGATGCCCTCCCTCAAAGATGGTCAAGGGGAATCCCCTTTACTCAACCCTCCGCTCTTTTGTCCCCTAACAAAGATCTTCAGCGGACAGTAAAAGGCCCTTTAAGAAAACTTACCTGTTACTATAGGAGACATAGACCATTTTCAGCATGTCTCTAATTATGCTGAATTTTTTCTTTAAATTTAAAAAAGTTACACTAGGTTCTTCCAGATACCACGAATTGTATCTAACATGACAATAATAGCATGACCGTTATTAAACTGAATTACTGAAAGCTAGAGTTTTCTTCATACCTCTTTAATCTTCCCAACATTATCATTGCCCTTTCATTAGAATTAGATCATCTTTTTTCTGACTATAGAATTAGTACATACTACTTATAATATATTTTAGATCTTTGTGAGTCAAGGCCTATTATGTAGTTCTGGCTCTCCTGGAACTCGATATATAGACCAGGCTGGCCTTGTACTCAGAGATCTATCTGTCTCTACCTCCCAAGGATTAGAGGTAGGCACCAAAATGCACAGCTCAGTTATAATACTTTTAAAGAAAGTGAACCATGCAAGCATACTCTGTGACTCCGCTTGTTTGTGGTTTTAATTAGTGTTTCTCTTTGTTCAGTGATAGTAGCCATGCCATCACTTAACAATCTCCAATTCTTTTGCCCTTTGTGATTGTTGTCTGTTTTGCTAATATAGCTGAGTACACTGAAAAAATAAAAAATTAAAAACTCTGATATTTATGGAATTTTTATTAAATCCTCTCAGTGATTTCAATTTTGAAAAGCTAGCAAACTATGTTCCTGTTAGAGCTTCATTGTAAAGATCTGGCACGTTGCATGCTGGGGGCCCTTTGCTATTTAAATGCACAGTTGTTGGGATTTTAGCATTCTTTTGTATTCTTGCACAATTCTAGAACATGCTTGTGATGGTTTGGTCGTCATCATGTAGATACCTGTGTATTTACAGTGCAAGCTCACAATGTAAAGCAAGGTGTTCTGCTGAGGGAGAGAAGGGAATGTGTATGAAGTCCTCGAAGCTTCCACGTGTGAAAGCTAACCACAGATGTGGTACTGACCCGGGGACATGCAGCAGGAGGGGTACATGTTTTCCTCCAT